TTCAATCTCCAAAAAACTCTGTTTTTCTCAACGATTATCCCAAATTAGTAACAAAAGGTTTTGATTCACAGCTTTAAGATCAAAATGCCTACAAATTTTGAAAGATTCATGCCCTATTTGGCATGAAATTTCAGAAAAGGCGGAAACCCTAAACCTCGAAATTTTCGTGATCCAAAAACAACCAATTTTTCCACCATTTAATTCTTGAAAAAGCTGAATAAAGCTGTTTAAAGCCTGCAACTCAGATCACATGCCAAAAAAAACAAAAAAAATGATCAAAAAATGACAAATTTGAAAGAATCCGTGAAGAACACTGTGCAACCCGTGTTCTTCACGGACTCGCCGATTCCGCACAGTGAATCGGCGAGTCACTGTGCGGAATCGTCCGGTTCTCTCTAGAACCGGACGATTCCCGATATTTGAAACGATCCGGTCCATTTTTGTGAAATCCGAGTCGAACCAGGCGAGTCCGGTTCGACTCGACGATTTTTTAAACGCTGGTTAGGACCATTGCAACAGAATCATATGGTTAGAATGAAACTTTGATCAGCAGAGCCCAGAAAAATGAAGTAAGATAAACTTAGAGGTTACTTCCCAGTTCAGCATTGGGAAAAGGACGTGATATATGCGTTGGGGGACGAATTTCGAGGTTTGCATCCATCCCCTAAGGTATAAACCATCCTTTCAAAGATGGATCTAAATGATGGTCCTTCTAACAAAAAAAAAAAAAGTAAATTAAGAGGTCCAAATATTACCTTCAAAAAGTAATATATTTAGTTTTTAAAATTTATTTAGTTTAAAGATTACATATAATGAGACTATTTATCTTTGATACAAGGTGTTCACAATTCTTTACAATCATTTGATGTGAAATTTGATAGCTTGGATGTGTCATAAAGTTCGAGAAAATTTATTTTGAAGTTTGAGCTTAATCAATGAAATAATTGCAGCCCACCCAATTTCACATCCAATGGTTAAGATTAAAGATAAATGGTTTCATTCTATACTTTCCCTTATTTTTATACATTAATGATCTCCATATTAAAGATTGTATATTTCCTAAAAATTAAGGTCAAAATCTATTTCAAAAATGAATTATCAAAGGGGCCGTATTTCTACATGAGTCCCCATACTCATAGAAACCCTGTCCTTGGAAAAAGTAGATAGTGCTTTTGTTGCATGATGAAGTTTTATTTAAGGTGGCAAATTATAGATGTACACTTTGATGTTATAAATCATTGATTTTAGTTGGATGGTATGCATTTGATATATCTTTTAAGTGCCAAACTTTAACATCTTAAAAAGCTTTTTAAAGCTATACACAATCCACTTGCGTTCGACAATTTAGAGCAATACAACTTTACTTTTACAAACAAGGTCACCACCTCATATAAAATTGGAAATATAAACGACCACACAATTATCTTTGGTACAATGTAGTTATGAGTAATTTATTCCATTGAACAAGCTCAAACTTCAAAAGAAATTTTTTTGAATTTTGAGACACATCCAACCTATCAAATTTCACATTGGATGGTTGTAAGTAATTGTGACATCCTTGCATCACAGATAAAAGGTGTCATTGTATACAATCCCTATAAAATTTCCCTTTCTTACATCAAGATATTGCGATGCATCAAGATTTGGGAATGGCGAAAAGACATCAGAATCCTCTACTTTATTTGGAAAGTTTTATTCACATCTTTTATTATTGCC